CATTGTCTGTCAGCTACACTTCAAAAAAGAAAAATTTTAATGTAAGAAGTTAACAGGAAAATGTGTACATGTTTTTCTTTTTCTTTTTTTAAAGATTTTATTTATTTATTTGACAGAGATAGAGAGGGAGAGTACAAGCAAGGGGAGCGGCAGGCAGAGGGAGAGCAAGAAGCAGGCTCCCCACTGAGGAAGGAGCCCAACGCGGGGCTCGATCCCAAGACCCTGGGATCATGACCTGAGCTGAAGGCGGCCGCTTAACCGACTGAGCCACCCAGGCGCCCCCAAAAAGATTTTATTTTTAACTAATCTCTACACCCAATGTGGGGCTCAACTCACAACCCAGAGATCAAGAGTCACTCCATCGACTGAGCCAGCCTGGTGCCCCCAAGCTACATAATTTAAATGTATAGGAAGAACACATTTTTAAAAAATGCTATGATGAATTATTTTATAAAGTAAAAAAAAAAAAAATCCTTTCATTTCAAGTTTGGTATTCCACAGAGCGGGTTTCCTCACACAGAAAACAGTTGCACTTTGTGTTTAAAAGTCAGCCCCTTTTACAATTCTGAGAGCTTCTCAGGCTCCCCCAAACCATGCAACCCCATCACAGGGGTGGCAGGCACCATGGTGTCCGTGTCTGATGCCCACTGCCCTGTGCTGCCTGTCACCTCTCCCAGGCTGCGCTCTCATAAACAAATAGTGACTTACAGAAGACTGAATCAGAATCCAAAACCTTCTAACAAAGAAAAGCCTGGAATCAGTTGGCTTTGCAAGTAAATTCTACCAAACATTTAAAGAAGAATTAACATCCAATCCTTCCCAAACTCTTCTAAAAACTTAAAGAGGAAGGAATACTTCCAAATTTGTTTTATGAGCTCAGCATTACCCTGACAACAAAGCCAGAAAAAGACACTACAAGAAAACTACCTGATGAATACAGATGCAAAATCCTTCATAAAACACTGACAAACCACAATCAACAGCACATTAAAAGGATCATATACCATGACCAAATGGGATTCATGCCATGGGATGCAAGGATGATTCAACCCACAATAATCAATCAATGGGATATAGCACAATAACAGAGGGAAGGATAAAAATCACATGATTATCTCAATTGATGCAGAAAAACATCTGACAAAATTTAACATCCTTTCATGACAAAGATACTCAATAAACTAGGAACAGAAGTAAATTACAAATTACCTCAACATTTTAAAGGCCATGAATGAAAAGCCCACACCTAACACCATACTCAATGGTGAAAAACTAAATGCTTTTCCTCTAAGGTCAGGAACAAGGCAAAGATGCCTACTCTTACCATTTCTATTCAATACAGTACTAGAAGTCCTAGCTGGAGCTATTAGGCAAGAAAAAGAAATAATGGAAAGGTAGAATTAAAATTATCTCTATTTGCAGATGACATAATCATATGTAAAAACTCTAAAGATTCCACACACACAAAAAAAACCATTAGAACTAAGAAGTGAGTTCTGGGAAGTTGCAGGATACAAAATCAACATACAAAAATCATTTTGTCTCCATACACTAACAACGAACAATCCAAAAAGGAAATTAAGAAAAACAATCCCATATTTGATAGCATCAAACAAATAAAATACTCAGGGATAAACCTAACCAAGGAGGTGAAAGACTTGTGTACTGAAAACTACAAAATACTGCTGAAAGAAATTAAAGAAGATACAGAAAAATGGAAAGACATCCCATGGTCATGGATGGGAAGACTTAATACTGTTGGAATGTCCATACTACCCAAAGAGATCTATAGATTCAATCAACCCCCACCAAAATCCCAGTGGCATTTTTAATTTAATTTAATTTAATCTTTTATTTTTTTAAAGATTTTATTTATTTATTTGAGAGAGAATGAGAGAGAGAGCACATGAGTGGGGGAGGGTCAGAGGGAGAAGCAGACTCCCTGCCGAGCAGGGAGCCCTATGCGGGACTTGATCCAGGGACTCCAGGATCATGACCTGAGCTGAAGGCAGTCGCTTAACCAACTGAGCCACCCAGGCGCCCTCCCAGTGGCATTTTTTAAATAGAAATAGAAAAAACAATTCTAGAATTCATATGGAACCACAAAGGACCCTGAAGAACTGAATCAATCTTGAGAAAGAACAAAGCTGAGGCCTCATACTTCGATTTCAAAACATATCACAAAACTACAGTTATCAAAACAGTATGATATTGGCATAAAGACAGATTTTATAGACCAAGGGAAAAGAACAGAGTCCAGAAATAACCCACACACATATGGTCAATTGCTCTTTGACAGAGTACAAAGAATACACAATGTGGAAAGGATAGTCCCTTCAACAAACAGTGCTGGGAAACTGAATATCTACATGCACATAATGAAAATGGACCCTCAGCTTATACCATACATAAAAAATTTAAACATAACCTGAAACTATAAAGTTCCTGGAAGAAAATACAGGATGAAAGCTTTGTGACATTAGTCTTGGTAATGATTTCTTGGATAGGACACAGGCAACAACAGGAAACAGACAAATGGGACTACAACAAAATAAAAATATGCTTTTGCACAGCCAAGGGAACACTCAACATAGCAAGAGGCAACATACAGAATGGGAGAAAATATTTGCAAATCATATATCTGATAAGGGTTAATATCTAAAAGATATAAGAAACTCCTACAGGGGTGCCTGGGTGGCCTATTTGGTTAAGCATCCAACTCTTGATTTCGGTTCAGGTCACGATCTTGGGGTCATAAGATGGAGCTCCGTGTTGGGCTCCATGCTGAGCAGGAAGTCTGCTTCTCTCCCTCTTCCTCACCCTCTGCACCTCTCCCCACCCCTCCTCAAATAAATAAAGTTTAAAAAAAATAAAAAAGAAACTCCTACAACTATGGCAAAAAAAAAAACAACCCCAAAAAACCCGATTACAAAGGGGGCAAAGACTTGAATAAACACTTCTCCAAAGAAGACATACAAATGGCCAAGAGACACATGGAAAGATGCTCAACAACACTCATCATTAGGGAAATGCAAATCAAAACCAGTAAGATATCACCTCACATCTGTTAGGTTGGCTATTATAAAAACAAACAGAAAATAACAAATATTGGAGAGGATGTGAAGAAACTGGAATCTTTGTGCATTGTCAGTAGGAATGTACAATGGTACAGCCAATATGGAGAATAGTATGGAGGTTTCTGAAAAAAATAAAAACAGAACTACCATATTATGCAGTAATCCTAGTTCTGGATATTTATCCAAAAGAATTAGGATTTTTTTTTTTTAAGATTTTATTTATTTATTTGACAGAGAGAGAGAGTACAAGCTGGGGGAACATCAACAGGAGGGGGAGAAGCAGGCTCCCCACTGAGCAGGGAGCCTAATGCAGGGCTCGATCCCAGTACCCTGGGATCATGGCCTGAGCCGAAGGTAGATGCTTAACTGACTGAGCCACCCAGGCGCCCCCAAGAATCAGGATCTTTTTTTTTTTTAAGATTTTATTTATTTATTTGACAGAGAGAGAAACAGAGAAAGAGGGAACACAAGCAGAGGGAGTGGGAGAGGGAGAAGCAGGCTCCCCGTGAAGCAGGGAGCCCGATGTGGGGCTCGATCTCAGGACCCTGGGATCATGACCCGAGCCAAAGGCAGACGCTTAAAGACTGCAGGCCCCAAGAATCAGGTTCTCGAAGAGGTATCTGCACTCTCATGCTCACTGCAGCATGGCTCACAATAATCAAGATATGGAATCAACCTAAGTGTTCACTGAAGGATGAATGAATAACGAAAATGTGGTATAGCAGAAATAAACTCATGCTTATATGGTCAATTAATCTATAACAAAGAAGGAGAGAATACACAATGCGGAAAAGACAGTCTCTACAATAAATGGTGTTGGGAAAACTGGACAGCTACATGCAAAAGAATGAAACTGAACTTTCTCACACCATACACAAAAATAAATTAAAAATGGATTAAAGACCTAAATGTGAGACCTCCAACCATAAAAATCCTAGAAGAAAACATAGGCAGTAATTTATTTCACATTGGCCTTAGCAACGTTTTTCTAGATATGTCTCAATAGGCAAGGAAAACAAAAGCAAAAATAAACTATTGGGGTTACAGCAAAATAAAAAAAACTTTTGCACAGCAAAGGAAACCATCAACAAAAGATCACCTACTGAATTGGAGAAGATATTTGCAAATGATGTATTTGATAAGGAATATCCAAAATATATAAAGAACTTATACAATTCAACAC